AACGTCCCAGTAGACCCCTTGTTTGCCTGATTAATTCAGGATCGAAACCCTGATCCACGGAGTTGATGTGGACAGCATTTTCGGAGTCAGTCTCGTAGATTGACTGCTGAGACGAAAGAAGTGGTTGAATACACCATGACCATTATACAGTAATAAGTATTGCCTTCAAAATCTAGGGATTAGCTGGTGCATAATAAATTCCTTTAAAAGAATGCCCCAAATGAAAAAGGAAAGGAGGTCCACATTCCAGCGTGCAAACCATCTTTTCTCGTTGCTCCAACGGAAGACCGGCTGCTCATGGGTAACAATGACCCAAGTCAAGCCAATTTACAAGATCATCATAAACTATTGAATTCAGGAGAATCAAGCTTCTTTCCAGGCGAGTGACTTTGTTGTAATTAATTATCAGCATGAGACACGGACTGTGGATGTCCATAGCAGCCGACCGGCACGCTTTGGACACCAGGTCGTCGTATGATGCACTCGTTGTTGTGCCCCCGCGCTTGAAGTTTCGATCGCAATCGAGCAAACGGGAAGTCGTCTCAGTCACGGAAGCAATTAATTCTAGTTTAAGCAATTGTGAGGACGACGGGAGACGTCGAACGAGAAGTCTGAGTTTGAGAAAAAAAGGCACTCGTCTAATTAGTTTTGCGAAGCCATGAAACCGTACCGACCGTCGGCCATCGATTTCTATCCCGCCAGCAGTTCAGACGGGACAGGGACCATGGGCGACTACTTACTGAGGCGGGAGTGTTGAAAACAGCATAAAAAAGGAGTTTTTAGTAAATAATCCATTTCAATGATGTCGATCAAAAATGACCAAGGGCAGCACGGCAGCACACCGACGTCGTGAATCGGCAACAACCCCAAGGGGCGTACATGAATCCTTGGCTCTTTTGCACCTGTTTCGACTTGAAGCACCAGTTCTGTGTGCAACGTGTGTAAGGGGGAGGGGGAGAAAAAGAAAGATTGTAAAAAAGTAGGAAAAAGCATAAAAGCAGATAGAGAAAAATGCCATATGAAATTAAATCCATAGATAAGAGATATTAACATTCGCTAAAAAAACATACCGACCACTGAATTATACTAACCTCGAATGACGAGTAACACGGCAGCTACTCTACATTGTAATTATTTAGAAACATTCGTAAGCATCACTCGAAAACGGCATTAGCAGAATTAAAACTTAGCAGGTGATAAACAGCACAAAACTCCTCCCAGGACAAGTTCCATGGTGCATAATACCGTTCCTTGCTCTTAGTTGCTGAGCGGAGGCCATTTAAGCAGCTACAATGACATTCGGGTAGCTGCCGCATCAGTTTGTTCTGTAAAGTCATCCGCGCTGAAAGCGAACGATGCTTCAGTTGGTACTCCTTATATGCTACCTCATAAACAGCACAAAATGTTTGTACGCTGGAGTGTAACTGATAACGCCTAAGTCCGAAAAGATGAGATTTCACAGTTTATAGCACTGTACCTTGATTCTAGTTGCTTGGAGAGTAACCATCAGGTAGACTAAAACTTCATGGTACTTGGATAACTGCGATTGGAGGTTGGGTTTTGATTCTGATCGCCTCAACGTCGTACCTGTTGGATTTCAACTGTGATACCAAATACCGAAACCTGATGCCAGAGATCAGATACCAGCAAACATCCAGAGTAGCTGGCCGGAAACTAGCTACTCAGTACATTTCCAGTTGCTTAAACATTGTCACCTGTGCAAACCCCAACACCGTTTCAAGGTTGCCTCAGAATTTGCTTGGGTTACGGAAAAGGCTGAATAATATAACTCTGAACTGTCACTGCTTGATGGTTGAAGATAGACACACTTTCTCCACCAGAACTTCGAACAATTTTGATGCACCGATAGCAGACCTCGAAAAGAGACTCTTAAAGAAAAACGAAATCACAAAAATGTGCTATACAGATGGCCAGGAAGTCTGATTTATCATTCGGATCGAAGGTCGAAGTATGAATATGTGGCTGCGGAGTCGCAGTACGCTCAGATTGTGAACAAGCTGGAAAGATTGTGGATCAATTAGCAGTAGATCGAGCTGGATAAAAATCTTGAAATCGGCCAGAACAACATGGATTATAACCACCAGTGATTAAGAAAAAAATATGCTATCTACGATAGGCTTGAACAATTACTTGATGGCATAGCACCGAACAGTCATGTAATCCTTGAGAAATAAGCTAACGCACAATTCAGCACTGGATAAATGGTAACTGATGGCAAAATCGTCCACGAAAAATGGATCGATCCTCAAAATTCACTGAAAGATTCACTCACCCTGGCAGTTCGGCCCTGATGCGCAATCGACGTTCGCAAAGACCAATATGGCAAGGCCCCCAGCGTTTGTCTATAAAGTAGAGAAGACGAAAAGCGTGAACACAAGTTACGACCACAGCTGGATTATATATTCATAACTGATCGTTGGAAGCAGATCGCGAGACGGTCCAAAAGCATCTGGAGATACTTCTGTCTGTCTGATCATGTTCCGGTTATCATAACGATGGTGTCATGTCTTACTGTAAAAAAATATGGAGTCAGTGCCAAGGCTTGATACTGTATCGTTACAAAAAAACCAGATGTCTCCCCAGTACTCCAGAGAGAACATGCTTCTAAATATGTGGGAATACGAGCTGAGAAGCCGATAAATGAGCGGACAAAAGCCAGAGCCGCAGAAAATAAGACCTTGACAATACAGATAAAAATGCCACCTGAAACATCAGACGAACGTATGGTGGCCAGAACGAGATGCTTTTATGGAAGAAGCGTTCAAATGCAGCAACCTTAGAGCGTTAGCATTAATCCGACAAAATAATATCAGTCTGTCTTTCAATGGGTTAACGATGGATCGTCAATGCAGAAAAGACCTAAGTGTGTCGAGCAATTTCGAGACCATTTCAAGCAGCTTATGAACTGATACTCCGCCGCCCCCCCGGCAAGTGCTGCATTCCTTCCAGCGAAATATGACTTCTGATTATGATGCGGTGTTGCTACAACATCCGGAAAAGAAATCACGAATGTCCTCGAAAAAGGCAAAATGGCAAAACAGCTGCTCCAGACGATGCCCACGTAAAACAGTTGAAACATGCCTAAGACTAGATTGCAGGCGTCGTCGCACATTATCTAGTTCAGGAGGTTTGATGACTAGAGACAATTCCGAAAAATAGCTTCAAGTAGTGATTATTCCAATGCTCAAAAAAGATGACCTTCCTGATGCCCACAATTGCAGACATATTACTTTCCTCTGCAACATCCTGAAGGCCACTGAAAGAACTGCCCTCAGCAGAATTCGACCTTATTGAGAGAGTGAAACTGCGAACGAAGAACTTCCGACCGGGCTGAATGACCACTGAACAAATCCTAACATGTGCCTTTTCTGGAAACGCACAATCGATACCACAAACGGCTGTTCATCGGCTTCGTCAAATTTGAGACAGCTTTCGATTCTTTAGACCACGGAAGACAGTTCCAGAAAACTTGTCCAAATATTGAGAAACATTCGCACCAGCAAAACGGTGGTGATTTGATCATGCCAAGCGGTGACAGACAGCTTCCTGATTGATAGAGGAGTACGAAAAGAGACGATCACTCAATCGATGCTGCTCAATTACCGCATCCACGCCGTATGCAGTATATATAGCAGTTGCAACTAGGTCTCTATTCGAATAGATTTGTTTTAGAATGTTAAAACCAGCCTCAATCAGTTCAAAAGCTTCAGTCAACATCGGACTGTCATCGCGATAATCCATTGAGTTTCAGCCTCTTCAGCTTCCTTGGCAGCATTACGGTCATGAATTTCTATAATATCATCTAGTGCGAACTCTTCATTAAGGGAGATCAATGGCTCCATGAGATCTTCGGCGTTCACCTCCAAATCAATACGTAAAGCAAAAGCGATTTACCCACATTTGAATTAAACTATTTACTCATTTATTATAGACACTCTGTACAGCCCAAAGGAGTAGGCAGGTTTCAGAAGTGGATTTATTACGACAGATCATCTCCAAGTAGTACAACAAGTAATTCAGAGAAGCAGCGAATATCATCTTCCTCCCTGCTTGGGATTCTTCGATTTCGAGAAAACTATCTACACGTCTGCATCCATCTTATACTGGATTCCATAAGGAGCAGGGAACATGCTTAATCACTAAAATTTACAAGAATACAACTGCTAGTGTAAAGCTTCAAGAAAGTACCATAAAGTTCAAAATCAAAGTATATGTTCAACCGGGAGATGTAATATCATCGAAGATATTCATTGAAAAGAATCTGAAGACATTTCGTCGGTAGATTTAGGCACTGAACATATATGGACACCATTTAAGCCACCTGTTCTGATCTTCTCAAAGACACTAGAAGAACTTCAAAGAAGCATCCAAGAAAGTAGGACTGAAAATGAACCGCAAGATGAGCCAGGTTATATTCAACAAATATATGACCGTCCGCGACCTGTATAAGTCAAAGGACTTAAGCTTGAAGAAGAATAAACCATCTCTGCAACCGAGAATCGACAATGTGAAATGGAATGGAACAGATTTAGAAGATTGAAAAGATTCTAATACGCGCAACTGCCCCTGTGCATGAAAGGAAAACTAAGTTATTAGCGACAAAAGCCATTCATAAAATGCAGACTACGTAACGCAGCATGGAAAGATATGTGTTTGGAATAACAAGATGAAATAGGAAGACGAATGGATGGATGAGAGAACAAACAAGAGTCTAACATGGCGTTGTCCGAGGAAAGAAGTTAAAGTAGCAATAGGCAGGAAATACGCAAGAAGACAGCAACAGACCGTCGCTGGGTCAGAGAAACGTTAGACTGGGTTTCAAGAGAGAGTAACCACTGTAGCTCCATAGGAAGATCTTCAAATTGATGGTGCGATGAGGCTGAAGAAGTTCGCTGGATCAGGGTGGACGACAATGGCGAAAAACAAGAGTCTATGGCGAGGTCTTGCATAAGACTTGATCCAGCAGTCGATCGACAAAGGCAGATGATGATGACTTAATTGAGGACTAATTGACAAGATAAAGAGTGCTTAATTACTAGAGACAGGCAAATAAACACAAACAGGGTATATCGATCAAGAACTAGTGTCAATTCTCCCTCTGACGGAATGAAAAACTGAAAACTCGTTCTTCGGCCACACGCTCAAAAGAACGACAAGCAGCTAACCAGCATAGTAGTGTGCAGAACCCACGCTGGAAAAGTTCGAGGCGGATCAAAAACTTTATAGATGGATAATATCGGAGGTAAAATGACTACGAGGGAACTGGGTCGCACTCATTAGCAAACTGTGAGCCAAGCCTACCACAAAGATTGGCTAGAAATCATACCGAACTTTAGACAAGACAGAATACAAGGGCAAGTGATGATAAGAAGTGCGGGGATGTCATAACCCCTTGCTACATTCGAAAAGT